AGATTTCTTTTTCACTCTGTTCCAAGCAGATTTGTCATCCTATTTCCATTCATTCTGATGGGAGTTTCATCTATTGACTAATACTTTTTCATGTACTTTCTCTTGCAATCATTCTACTTTCACTCTAGTTTCTTCCACTTCTTTCCTTGTCCATTTCCCTGCAATTCCCTCTTGATGGTACCAAAAAATAGTCTGCCCCAGAACCAGACTATATATTTATATCCTTGATTCTCTCAGTTTTTCATCATGAACCAATAGATCATTCATTGAGATTTATATTAATTCCTTTGCCACATGTATAGGCTTAAGCTTAAAGTATATATTTTAAACAAGCAGACCTTTTTCTGTGGAAATGCTTATCAGTCACTATTCTAATTCATTCTTGGGTCTTCAAATGGCCCATTACATTTTTCAGTATTCTTTTGTCTGTTCCCAGCCATCTATTTATGCCACCTTACAGAATATTTTTTCCCTGAATTACATGCGATTAGAATTTTGCACATTTTTCTCCAACAATCATGTCTAGTTCTTCACCATCACCATTCATTGGAGCATAATATGCAACTATTACCAATCTATGGACTCCTAGCTACTTATGCACCCACAACAATCTACAGCACACCAATTTATAATTTTGACATACACTGTTGTTCTTTCATTAAATGAAAGAACAACAGTGTATGTCAAAATTATAAATTGGTGTGTTGTAGATTGTTGTGGGTGCATAAGTAGCTAGGAATCGCTTCTCTCTCTGTTTTCATCAGCTTCACAAGATCAGGCCACATTCATTCAGATATACTATTTTCTTCCCATTTTTTAATTTCACAGATACAGAGTTTTGTTTCATTTGTTAATTCATCTATTTTTTTACTTCTCTCACATTCCAAATTGCAATCTTCTACATGCCATTATTATCACCAGATGGGCCCATAGATGTTGACCTTTGGTTCCTGTCATGGATCAAAACAAAGGTGTGCACCAACTTACCAGCTTAGTTGTACTTTCCCTGCTGATGGTAAGGGAAGTACCATTCACTTCTGGCACATTTTGGTCAATATCCCACAACCAGAGTCCAATTTTACTCCGAACGTGCTCATGCTATTCTATAAAAGTTAGAATCTCTAATTTAGAGTATACTTTGCAAGCCAACATACTGTTGCCCACATCCTACCAACTCAGAGGTATATGCAGTGTACTGGCACATTCTCAGGACAGGAAGCATTAAAGTTTAATGTTAAACTTATACTAAAATATTAATAGTATATGCCTCATTATGCCTTTCTTTAGAAGTATTTGCCACTGTGTTCCATGGAGCACAATGCTAGGTAAATGTACATAGGTCATTTTTATTGTGTTTGGCAATAAGCCATTCATATTTTTACTTATTGTTTAAATCAGCTTTCAAAACATAATATTGCTGTGCATTTTAAATGTATACTTTAGAAGGGAACAAAATGTCACATTAATGTATTAGAGATGCTACATATTGAAATGTTCTGGAACAGCCCACTCCAACTGAGTGATCTCCAGATGTGTGGATTTCAGTTCCCCAAAATCCCAGCCAGCATCTCTGTTTCTGAGATTCTGGAAATGTAAATACCCATATGTAAAAGGGATCCATGTTAGGAAAGGCTGTTCTAAAACAGATTTTGTATTGTACTTAGCTAGCTAAGTAAAGGTGGCCCATAACAAGTTTGTGGAATAATTAAAAATATTTATCCATTGCTGTGCACTAGAACTGTATTTCTGAGGATGGGGTATTAATATCATGTTGGTCTGGACTAGATCATTGACTAGACTAATACAGACCTACATACCAAGCAGTTATAATCTACTATCCTTCCTTAAGTTTTAAAATCCATTATTAAGACCTTTTGTAGTTTTACTGGGTTTGATAATACTGATGGGGGTGGGGGAGGATGGTGGGTATAAAACATCAAGTGTCTCCCTCTGTATGTTTTCTAAATGACTATCAATTTAATGAAGAATGGAAATAAAGGAAATAAATCTGTTTCTCCAAAACCCTTAACAATTGTCAAACGATTCATGGAAAGGGTTAAAAGAACAGTAATTCCTGTTGAATTTGCAAAGTGCAGCAGTTACTTTATGTGGCAGGCTAGTACAAAAATGATTACTTGCCCTTCATCTTTGACTTTATCATAACTTACCTACATCTTGATGGTTCAAAATGGGAAAGTTCTGTCAATTGTAATGGGCACAAGACAAAGGGTAGCTCCTTATCTTTTTAGGCAGATACATAACAATTAAAACCTTCATTCAGACTATATATAAAAATGCTCTATAGTAAAATGAACAGGTCTGGACACACCATTAAACTATAATTTAAAATTATGCTTAGAAGGCCAACATTGGTTCATTCGTTCTGCCCCCCTTCTTCTCTCCAGCTCACACGACTGCTTTGAAGGCTGACTCTGGGGGTCTGCACATACATGCAGCTGTTTTGCTTTGCTGGATGTCCCAGAGTGATCGAATGGCAAATGCTTGGTCTTTGGGACAATGCAGTGGGCTGGATCAGATACTACTTAGGGCTCCCTATATTATTCTGTGGTCAGACAAGTTCCCCTGAAATAGTAACATTCAAACTTTAGGGTCTACTGTGTATGAACCTGTACACTGCAGAGGATCGAGGGTCCTGCTCTAAGGCACACATTTTATGTCCTTAAATCTCGTTTTTCAAGAGAATAAACTAGGAACAGATAACTTGCACTTCATTGTAGCTTCCTGCTGACCAGCCTTCTCTGTCCTTTCTTGGACTGAAAGCATACTAGTCAATGGTCGCATGCCATAGAAAGACTTGTTAGGAATGAGCAAATTGCATTTTCATCATATTGCTTCTCTTACCAACCACAATTTCTGTTAGGCTATGCTGTATAGGAAATAGAAGAGCTATATTCTTTTAATGTTCAGGCTTCCCAAAGTAGGCACCTTTTACAAGCAATGTTTTGCACAGGCAAATGCATGCTTGTGCCTTTCTCTAATATATGCACCTTGAAGCAGGGACATATTCGGTTAATTCTTTGATGGGAGACCACCAGGGTTATAGACCAGACATGGAATAATAAAAAAAAATGTCCTGGAAGAAGACTCTTACAAATCACTTCCATATTATTGCCAAGAAAACTATAGAAACATACCCATGTAAATCTCTCAGTTCACAGGAGTTACCTTTATGTGTATTTTCCCCAAAGCCTGTACATAAAAGTTATAAGGTTACGAGTTTTGAATTATGAATTTCATCAGAAAATTTTGAGGAATGAAGATCTTGGCATACATATATTCAGGTTTTTTCTATAGACTTGTGAAGTCCAAAATGGACATATTTAAACAAATTTCTTAATTCAAATTTCTTATTCATTAAGCTTTATGATACATCCACTATGCATAGTATTATAGTCAACTAATGTTGGAGCAAGTTTTATTACTGCTGCTAGCTTGGCTTTTTTAGAGTTAACTATGCTGGGAACAGATTGATGTGCCTTCTCCTGATTTTGTTCTCACACGGTTCCTCTTCAGCTTCCCACCTTTTTTCTTGCAGATTCTTAAATAAAGCCATGTTCTGAATGGGAACATAAATCCTCTAAGTGATTCTGGGGACTCTTTGGAACCAAATGCATATGTCAGCCATGCAATGCATACATTTACTAGCAATGAGATTTCTGAGCTCCAGGTGGTTCCCAAGCTTTGTGGATTTCAAAGGAGGCAAGATGTGTCTGTTTTACTATGAATCTTTCAGTAGAAGAAAGGGAAACAAATATGTCAAGCATGCACTATTGTTTCTCTGGAAGTTCTGAACAAAATCTCAAGCCAAGAATTCTTCTACTGTTCTTGACTTGAAGTAGCAGCTTTGATCTCTTGAGTGTAATTGTCATAGATCAGCACTGATGCATAAGTCCTGGAAAATCTTTGGAAGCCAGACTGTTTACTACAAAAGTTGAAAGAAATCACATTGGCCTTGCCAAAGAGGAAATATGGGATGGTTAATTAATAGTACAAAATACACAGTGACTAGTAATGTAAGGATGTTGGTAAGACTCTTAACATTCTTAGGTGAAGGAAGAGAGACATAATTCTGATTTATTCAAATTCTGCTCTCTGAATAACATTGCAACCAAATACAAATAGCCCCAAATAAGGGTAGTGCATTAAACCTCATCTCCTCCATCCATGTAAACACAACATTAATACTGAAGAAATAATAAAAAAAATAAAATATCCAGTGTTGGGTTGCACGTCTAGATGTTAATGTTCCTTGTTCAAGATTCTCATCCATACTTACTTCCACATACAATAATGGGAGTGAATTGAATTTATTCACCTCCAAGCAAAGACCATCAAGATTTTCTCATTCTTTTCTCCCCCATCAATACATCATTTCATTTTGTTTTTTAGTTTAACAACACTTGACTGAATTAGTTTCCCAAAGTCTGTACTTCTGTGGTTCAGTCCTCCTGCTTAGTGACGATGTCCACTTACACCAAATGTATGTGCAGTGGAAGAGCTATTGGACTGATTTTCCCCAATCACCTGAGTTTATTAACTAATTAAATATTAATCCTTCCTTCCCAATACTTTAGATTCCAATTTGACCTGTGTTGCAAAGAAATATTTTGAAAAAAAAACCCTATAAAGTGGAAGCAAAATTGAACGTGATGGGTATCTTCTCAGGTCAGTAAAAGCACAGATCTTCTTGGGGGAATGGCTAGATATGGGGATACATATGAGGTGTGAAAGGATGCAATTTGGGTTTTTTAAAAAAAGGATATGAACGGAGCAGGTGACAGTGGTGGGGAGTTGGAGAAGAGTCCATCTTGCAGCATAAGAGCAATGACTGAGTGATGTCACAGAAGTGCATACACAATGCTGTGAATATTCAGAATATAATATATCACAAGTCCCATTGGTTGGATATAATTCCCATTCATCTGACAGGGGAAATCTGGTTCAGCTTGCTTTAAAGAGTTCTCTGTGGCTAGACAAAAGCTGTTTGACATAGGCAAATTCCTTTAATAAGGAGAAGTAGGGGCTGGTTTTGTTCATTTAATTCACAGGATAGTAATCTGAAGATCTTCCTTTACATTTCTTTTTTTAAAAAAACTGGAATTATTAAATAGTAACATGAAAGCCTATATTCCAAAGAAGATCTGTGTGCAATTTTAAGAATAAAGATCTGCTTTACACAGTTACTGCCACCCTGTGTGCTGCCAACAGATGTGGGTAACGCTGTCCCCCCCACCCCATATATTTTGTATCCACCTCTTGGTCAATCAAGCCAAAGTTTTGTGGGTGGTGGATGAGTGGTGCTTTTGAGCAACGTCCAGAGACATCTTGTTCCAAATCTCTACTGTTAGAACTGTTTGATGTGATTTAAAAACAAAACCAAACCAAAAACAACCAAAGGTGTCCCACAATTAAGAATGGGGTCCACACACATGAAACGGCTCCTCTTTTCAGTTTGCTTTCCACTAAGAGTCTGGTGGTGCTAGCTGTTGTTCTCAGCCGTGAGATATTTCAGTGCGGCAAAGCCATAGCGGCGTGACATATCCTGCTGGAACTCTTCTTTGAGGGTCTTGAGACAAATACGGTACTGCTTGTTGGAACGGAATTTGGTGATGTCGAAGCTGGGCGCGTGTGGCATGTGGATCATGTAGGCATTGGGGAGCACTGTGAATTCATATTCCTGAGGAAGACAGTCACAGTAAGAGTGAGCATGAAGGCCAATGTCTTGTAATTCTTTTCGTTCTTTCCCCCCTCCTCCATAGTCTTAAGTATTGCAAAAATTGGAAAACAGTAGGTATTAATGCAGCACTGGCTCCTACAAAACATGGTCTGCAAATAAAAATCCTTTCTCAATTTCAGTGTAAATATCTCCCCCCCCCACTTTTCCTTTGTTGACTTGAATCAAGTTTAACATTGCATCTGCTTAGGGCTAGCCATGTTTGCTAAGCAGGAGTATAGTTAGATTTTGTAACCCCCATATGAGAAGGAACTTGGTCGGTATTCACCCATGTTTGCTGCTCTTTCTAAATCATGGCTAAGACCGGCAAAAGAAGGAAGTGGAGAATTTGTGTCAGAGAGGGAAGAGAGGACACTTAAACATGGTTTAAGCCACCTTTGGAACAGTTACATTTTGCAAGGCAAATAGAAATCTAATAAGTGAGCACTCTTATGGTGAAATTTCACAGGACATGTAAAGAAAACTGAGTTCTGTTAAAGTTATTTGCTTAGAATAGAACCAGCACAGCTATCAACTACATTAAATGCATAAAGCATTGAATCTTGGGATTTATCATCTGAAAGTCTGCCTGCATCTGCTATGGAGCTGCAATCCAGAACTGCCTAAGCAACTCTCAAGAAGCTTTTCTTTACAGAGAGATGAAACTCCATATTAATCACTCTGCATTTATTGCAGGATTCTGGCAAAAATGAAAGCCTTTGATTAGCAACCCTTCAGTTTCTGAATGACACACTGGTGATACAGATATACGTTCCATATATTAACAGTCAACATTAGATCCAGCTCCTAGCTGGGCTAAGAGAATTTTGCAGCTTTGTTTTGCCTTCTGCCTAAAAGTAGTGATCTTTTACTGACATCAAAGCCTTCCTCTGCTGCCCTTTCATCCTTCCTCAATTATGCTGCTATTCCAATTTTGCCAGGAGCAGTTGTTTCTCTTCACTGCTTACATATTTTTATGGTAAAAATAGAGCCCACTGAGGTATTGTTACTATGATAAATTTGGGAAGTAAAAGAAGAAGAAAAAAATGCCAAACCACGGATGTGCCCATCAAGTCACCATGAGTTGAGCTTGACTCAAGAATGTATTTATCCTTTAACTGCAGGTGCACAATTCTACGGACTACAATCAGGGGCATTTTCGCAACCTTGTTAATTTGATGCCCTTTTCACTGGAGGTGCCAGGGACTGAAACTGGGACCTCTTCCATGTAAAGCAGGAGCTCTCCTACGGAGCTATTTTTTACTCCATCACATCCCATCAAATCATCCTAGAGCAGTATCCTTTATTCCAATAAATGTATTGATTCTAACTGAACTAGGAACAAGTAACCCAAAAGCTAGTGCAGAGATTCTTGCAGAGCTAATCCCATGGGGCCCACTGCTCTCCCTTTCTATACTTAGATGGATTTTTTAAAAAATACTTTGAAGGAAGAAAAGGTAACACCTCTTAAGAACATGCAATGGCTATGACTATTTCATTTGTATCTGTAAACTGTGCTATTCCTCTCTGAAAGAACTTTGCATTTAAAACTCTTGGGTTTGCATGTCTCCCTCTCTCCCTTATCAATGTTGCCCATCCATCCATCCATCCATCCATCCATCCATCCATCCATCCATCCAAAAATTAAAATTCCTATTCCATTATAAGAAGTTTCTTCAGTGTAATTTGTTGAGTAACATGATTTTTTCAAAACTGTCCATAACCTTTTGACCATTTAATTATGTGTTTGACTTATATCCTATTTTTTCTACAGGAACTCATGGTGGTATACATGCAAATCTTCCTTCATTTTATTTCCACAACATCTTTGAGAGTTTGGCTGGGCTAAGGGAAAATGTTTGGCTCAAAAACATCCAATTAATTTCCATGGTTGAAGATGGAACTGAACCTTGGTCTCCCCAATCCTAGTTTATAATCTTGACAACTACAGCATACTGGCTCTCCATGAAGGAAACTCTCTAATGTAGAGCAAGAGGTTGCTAATTGACACAGGTCTGCTCTACCTCAAAGGGTTGACAAGTTACGTTTTTCTGTGGAATATTGAAAAGTTCTGGTCGAGGCCATCAAGACCAGCCCAAAGAGGGTCAAAGAGGGAATCCAAATTAACACATTCTTTCAAATTTTCCAGGGATAGATGTCTGTAGCTCTCTGTTTTTTCCTTTCCTTCAGTATCCTAGAAAACAGTTCATCTGGCCCTGGAGATATAAACTCATTCAAAGTAGATATTCCCTGATACAGATATTTTTAATTATTCTCAAGCCTTAACTTTGCTGCTTTGTTCTACTTTTCAGTATTGCCTGGTGGAACCCATTGACTCTTCTTAGAAAGGACAGAAGCCTCATCAGCACTTCCTGCTTACTCTGGGGCCAGGATGGCCAGCTAGCCAACTCTTGAGGACAGGAATGCACAATCATCCTTAACCTCTATCCACCTTTTCTTGTTCTGCATTAAAGTTAGTATTTCAAACTTGTGCTGGGATGGGCAGTGGTGTGCAGTCTACCTGTAGTCCTTCATTTTATTATAAGCAAATGTCTTTACTCCAATTGGCTACTGTGCACTGTCACAGAATGCCCTTTGCGGGGTGGGGAGGGGGGGCTGGTAAAAGGCTGGTCTTTTTTTCTATAAACAGGTTCACTAGTGGACCAGTGAAACAGTAGTCTCCCTCTCTCCCTTATCAATGTTGCAAGAGTTCTGCCACTTTCCCCTTCTAGCCCAAGTGACAGGAAGAAAGCAAAACTGGCATGTTTTCCTCCTTTTTCTTTCAATGGTCCACTAGTGGACATATCAGATGGTAGATGTCAAATATGAGTGGAGGCTCCTGCAAAAGGAATATCAATTGAAACCACATGTCTTTCAGTCTCTTCCATGGAAAGGAAAGTGACTGATGCTTGCTTTCCCAGCACAGATGGCAGGGGTAAAAAAGCAGGGGAATCTACCAAGTGGGGGTTGTGATAACTGTCATCTGCATAGGATGACTGGCCAGCATTCTTGTCAAATCTGAACATGATTTCTGAAGCTGTCTTCATTTAAAGCTGGTTTCAGCACAGGAGCCAAGCTGCTTCAGACTGCTGTGTGAAAGAGTCCAGAGGCAATATAGGAACTGAGCAGCTTTGTCCTCCTTTCATCATCTGTTAACATTTTGCCATTTTTATTGACCAGCTGGTATAGTGATACTTTTTCTTTCATTTTGAACAAAGCTGAAGAAACCTGTTTTATGTCCTTAGCATCCTTTGCCAACCTCAACTCATTCTGTGCTTTAGCCTTTTTGACACCATATGTACAAAGACTTTGTTATGAATCCTCCTATTGCCCTCCTGAGAAAAGTTTGCCTCGTTTAAAGCAATAAATGCTCCTTGAAAGGTAATCCAAAGTGTGAGCTGTATCTTTCCACCTGTTCTGGGAAACTGTTTTGTGAGGAGAGATGCAAAGAGGCAATTTTAGGGCAGATCTGCTAATTTAAGAGGCCAGTTGCAAATTCAAAGGTGCTGGTTAGCAGCACAGCATACAGTTTAATTGTCCCCAGTCCTTTGGCAAATGATTACTGGATGGGGAAATGATTCTACTGGGTGTTATTTGGCACAAAAACAATTTTTTTTTTCATGAGACATTGTATTTTTTATGGTCTTTCACACTTGTCTCTTGGAATTAATTTGGAAGACCAAATGTTCACGCCATTACAGAGTGACTCTGGGCGGTTTACAGTAATACAATTATATAATTATTATACAATTATACTACATCTATTACCCTAGGACTAGAAAGAATAGGCTGGTTGGCTGTGCTAGCTAGGAGTTATGGGAGCTGATGGTTAGGAAATCTGTTCTATCCTGTTTCCTGTTAACAATATCAATCAGTTAAATTTTCAGATGCAAAGTGTACAACTCTTCCTTGTTAGTGAATCCTGACAAGAGGATACCCCCATATTTATGATGCAACGAGAAACAAACCTTTCTATAGCATCCTACACAAGCAATACCTTTTATATTAAAAAACATTGGGGAAACAAAATTGTTGCAACTAAAATCTCTATTCCTCACCTGTGCATCCAATTCCATAATGTGTGCAACTTTATTCCAACCAAATCCAACAAACCTTCGGTCATATTCTGGACAATCCTGCCTTACCACAACATATGGCTCAAAATCTGCTTCCCATTCAACTCGATATGGTGTGGTGGCTGTTCGCCACTTGGCAAAGTTGGTTGGTGCATGCCCTTTTGTCCATACATGATACCTGGAAAAGATATGGTTTGGAGGAATCATTGACAGGAGTAAAGCTTGGAAACAACCCACAGTGAGATCTGTGAGAGTACAGTTTGGTTCACTTCTTTTTGACAAGGTTTGATTCACTTCTCTTCCCTTTCACTTCTTGGTTTGGTTTACTTGACAAGGAGTTTTGTTCTCTTCTTCTTGACAACACTGCTGATACAAAAGCAGAAGAGGTTCCTGCACATGCATAGCACATGAAGAAAATATCTTCCAACTTTTGTATGGACCTCAAACCAGTGCAAACGAACAAATTTGGCCATGTGACTTTGGTCTTAGAAACAAAGGCAGTGTGCCGGTTTAGGATGCAGCTTTGAGAACCTCAAAGATGTCAAAGCCTTAGTGGACATTACCACCAGGGCTTCCATTGACGTTTGGAAAACATTTGAAAATTGATATTTTCTATAATTACAGATTGATAACCTAAGGAAAGAAATCATGACTGATGAAGAAACAGTAACTACAGCAGTTCTGGACTGTGACATTTAATTGCTAAGATTGTAAAAAATGGCACTTCGGGAAGATGTTGACATGCAGATAAATGCTTTGAAAATGAGCTCAGCCGCTATTCCCAATGATAATGGCTTTTTCTTTTTAATTCAGTAGTTTGTTTTCAAGGCATGCCGAATTCTGTGGAGGTGCTTCTGTCATCATGGCAGAAATTTAGATCAATACAGGCATTAAATAAAAGCCTAGACAAATGATATCAGTGCCATCACAGCTATCATTTTGTTGCCATGTGCCATCTACACAATTCCATCTAGGCAATCAATTCAATTTACAGGAAAGGATCCTTTTATATTTTGTTAATCTTATCCATGTCACTGCCAGGTCTATCCAAGCACAGTTACTGCCTATCCCATTAAGACAATGATCAATACTTTTCTCTTGTGTTTATGCTTGCTGTGCCATTCCAGAAATCATTGATATGGGTTACTGCCACACATCTATTGATTAAACCAGGACACCATTACGTAACCCATTCATATATTACACCATGTTCAGATATTTACTTTAAAACTGGTACAGTGAGACAGACTTGGAAATTGTATCTAGATTTAATTTAAACATCCAAGTTCACCATGAAAATCCTGTAAAAGTTGGACTTGAAATTTTGGTCTGACTTAACTTTGGAATTTAAGGGATATTATTCAAAGTCTACGGATATGCTGACAGAAAAAGCAAGTGTGGGAAAAGGAAATGTTTTTGTTCTGTTTCTGCCCCAGGAAAATGAGAACCTTGCTTTGCATTGATATCTAGGAAGAATCAGCTTTCTATTAAATGTATGATGGAGCAGATAGACTACAATCTCTCTCCTATAAAATGTAAACGACACTCCTTCACAAGATTATATTTATGAATTGGCTGCTTCAGTGATACTGCAAATTCTTGATTTTAGCTGCCAAGAGTCTGTTGAATTTGGGCAGGGTAAAACTGTAATTAATAAATACATTTCAAGAATAGTTATTGTTATATGCTAATAACTTTTACTGAAATCAGAAGATAAAGAGAAAGCTTATGTTTATTCTTTATTTGGGATGTTTATTATTACCTTGGGGTACAAGAAGAGATTGTAAGAAGAATAGGCCTACTGGATAAGGCCGAGGACCATCTTAGTCCAGTTGTTTGTGTCTTACAGTGGCCAACAGGTTGTCTCTGAGGTGCTCACAAATAGGAGATGGAGACATTTCCTTTTCCCACCGTTGTTCCACTACAATTAGCATTTGGAAGCATGTTGGGTTCAGTGTGAAGGTAACTACATCTTCACGGCTAATGGCCCTTGATAATATGAGTAGATATCTGGACAGAAAATGAGAATGCATGCCTGCTAGGATTCTGTAGAATCCTTGAGAGGGTGAAATGCCCAAATATAGTCCTACAAGGAATCTGGGGAGGCTTCATTAACCTATCAATATATTATTTGTGGCCTGTTCTGGCAGTATATAACTTTCTGTTCTCCCACGTTCTTCAGCACAGAGCTACAATTAAGAAACAAAATAAATGGTCTGTTATATATATCCTAACCCATCTTAATATCTTCCAGGTGTTCTCTAGAATCACTATAGCACCATCCATTCAGTCAAATCTTTCTCCTAAAGTGAACCATAAAAAAGATGAATAAAAATAAGTTAAAAAGAGAACAGCCACTTTTTTGTTGTTGTTTTATTTTGGCACAGTATAATTGCATTCAAATTTGTTGACATGGACATGTCATTGGTCAATACACATTGGTGCAATACGGAAGATTTTCCTTGGGTAAGAGACTGTATAACGTGACCCTCTAAAATTCCCTGAATAATCAGAACAAGTAATTGCATGATAAACACTGTATTTGGAAGTATCTCAAGTAGACTAGATTTAGAACAGCAGCAATTAGCATAGTCTGAAACCTTAGTGGAGCAAAGTTGGATAGTTTAATTTATCTCTACAGTAAGGGAAATGGCCAGATCTTTAATATAAAACTCTTGAGAAAAATCTAGAATGAAGCCATCCATTATTCTCTATTACAAAGCTCTTATACTCAAAATATCCAGGCCACCACAAAATTTGCTGGAAGGGGAATAAAAGGAAGACATTTATAACGGAGAACTAATTTATATGTCTCAGATGCCCCAAAGGGAGAAAAGATAACCATTTTCGAAAACAGGTGACCCCCCCCCCCCAAAAAAAAGTTTGAAATGCTACAGGCATGATCAGCAATCACTGTCATAAAGCTCCATTACTTTGGCCTTCAATAGTTACTAACAACTTATTAAACCACCCTGAAAACAGAGGCAGAAATTGTTGGTTGGTGGACATAGGCTGTAAGAAGATTGGAGCAATCAGATGGACGGAGAATGGTGTGTGAAAACTAGCTGTGCAGAGTGATACTGATCATTCAGAAGCCCAGTCCTCTTTTGTAATAACTTATTCTTTACAGGAAAAAAGAAAAGGAAAAGGAAAAAGGAAAAAAACAAAACCCCCAGTGGGAAAATAAATGCCAGGCCTGTGGAAAATTTGATTGATGATGAAGCAGAAAACTGAAGTGAACATTTACATGATCTTATTTTCCAGTAGATTTTTTTTTTAACTATGGAAGGAACAGTTCTTTTCCTAATTAATAAGTCTTTGCAGTTACTTGCAGTTTACAAACCAATACTGGTAGATTTTGTTTTCGGGGGGGGGGGGGGGTGG